GAGATCCATGCATATACCTTGGGATCAGTGGGAGTAAGTTCATAATTTTGGTATTGTATGATGATGATATTTTATTGGCTAAGAATGATCTTGGTTTAGTACTAAAATTAAAAGTATATCTCAAAGAACTTTTAAATTAAAGATGTGAGTGAGACTTTTTAAGTGATAAGAATATAAACATTCTATGATTGATCACTTAAAATTTTCAAGATTGTCTCTAAAATCATATATTATTAAAGTTCTTGAGAAACTTGGCATGATGGTTCTTCTAATAATAGTACTATTGATAAGTTTTTAATAAAGTTTTGAGACACCTGAAAGAAACAAGAAATATGTGTTCATATATTGAAAATCAACACATCCACAGATGGTTGAGTTTTCTAACTCAAATTTAGTGGATATCATGGTTCTAGGCACTACTTTTGGCTATGTAACTCATTATCAGAGATACCATATTATGGAAAAGCTTAAAGTTCTAGTTGCCTTATAGATCCACTAAACATGATGAGTATGTGACAATTATGAGGCTTCCATTATGAAAGTATGTTTGCAGAATTGTCTTTGAGTCTGAGGCGTTAAGTCTTCAACTCTTTATCTGACAATGAAGAGTCTGCAACTCTTTATTTAAGTAAGACATGATATCTAAAGGATCCAAGTATATGGACGTTAACAGTAAATATATGTCACTAAAGCAAGATGTTAAAAGAGTAAAGTTTGTCATTGAAAGTGTAGGCACTAAACTTGTGATTTCAAACATCTTTCTGAAAGAATTGCTTCCTAAGAGAATTAAGAATCATGACTAATGTATATGTCTTGAGGATAGCTCTTAATTATGATGTTTGTTTATGATTAGCCTATATATGACATTTATTTTGAGCTCTTGTACGTCTTTTACATCTTTATCTATCCTGTTTTCAATGTGCGCACCCATGATTGTTGTTAGATTTATGATAACAGAATACATCTTTTCAAAGACATTAAAGGGACCATTAAGATAACTTCTACTTATGTGTATGGTCTAGCTATGATAATAGTCAATGCAGTAGTGCATGGAAGGGATCAGGTTGCAAAATGATGTGTAACCGCCATGACTCTCATTGGTTGTTAGATTAGCCAAGATACTTATGATGACCAAATAAAAATTAAGTTATAACAAATTATGCCGGCTTTATGATTCTTGAAAGAAAAATTATTAATGGATTATACTAACGACCAAGTGGGAGAATGTAAGGAAAATTTATTTTTTTCCCATCATATGGTCTTATAGTTAATCTATTTTTCTAATGAAGTTGTTATTTCTTAATAATTTGGTAACTAATTATAATGAAAATTAGAAGTTTAATTCCTATTAAAAACTTA